GTGTGTGAATTGTGATTTGCCAAAGTTATGCTCTCCCTGTGCTGCCGTGAGAAATGGGAAAATTTTGGTAGATTAAGTTATGTTTTTAAGCTTGGTTTAAGTGTAAATTAGCTTGAATTGGGTTGTTGTGATTTTGGAGTGAAATCCCGTGAATTAGCTAGTGTTTTGGCCAATTTGTGGAAGTCAGAGTTACTGTTCACGTCGTGAGCACTGTTCACGGTACTGTTTATAGGCACTGTTCACACCCCGAGAGTCAACAATTAACGGGGATTTAAATGATTAGTTTGTGATATAAGAACGAATTTGGAGATATCTGATAATGTGGATATTTTGATTAGGTTCTTGATCGTTCTGTCAGTTTAGTACGTGAATTGAGTGCTCGGTTTTGCGGAGTGAGGTAAGTAAAATTATGATAACGCCCTTCGACTTTTGAAGCATGTTTTGATTTGTTTTTGAAATGGTGGCGGGACTAAACCCGTTTTACGCGAGCATGACGGATTTGAAGTGAAATGTTTTATGCTTTTCATTAAATTGAGCATGCCTACTTGAAATTTAAGTGACTGTCCTGATGATCTGAAAGTGATTGTGAATTGTGATTTTCCTGTAAACTTCTGCCTGTTTTGTCTCCGATGTGGTCATGTTATTCGTGACCCTGCTAGTGGGGGAGGTTATAAACACTAGCACATGTCGGCACATGTCGATATGTTATTTGTGACCCCGCTAGTGGGGGAGGTTACAAACGTTAGCACATGTCGACATGTTCGTGATAGAACCGGTTCGCTCGTGGCCCTACTAGTGGGGATTATACACTAGTACTCGTGTGCCTGCCAGTGGGAGGTTTATAAACGCTGGCATGACCTATAGAGGAGACATCTATTTCGTGCCCGTACTGTATTCGTTTTTCGTGATTGCACTTGTTGGCATGCTATAAGTTTAATTAAGGGCAATCCATATTTTACTTACTGAGTTATCTCACCTCGTTTTTCTCGTCCACCATTTCAGGTAGTGTGCCCCGAGACTTGGAAATCAAGGGAAGTGACGTGATAAACGGCTAGCCACTTGAGATTTGACATAGATTTTAGATACATGTACACCACGCTCTTGTAAGTTAGATTTTAATTTGAAATTTTATGGTATCAAAACTAATTTTGTTCAGTAAGTTCCGAGCCTTGTGCATTTGTGGAATCCGTCTCACGAGTGCACGGCGTCTATCGCACCTTGGATTCGAGTTCTGGGACGTGACGAAATGTGTCAAAAAATGTATTGAACCGAATGTGTACAATCACTTTCCTAATGCTTTTTTTATTTTAACGATAAATCACTTATTATTATTTTTTACCTTTTGGATAAAGATTAATAATGATGCTCACCCCCCACTTTCCTTGTTCATTATGCAAAACAATTCCTAGATTTAAAAACCAATTTGCTAAACTTCACAAACCAATGTTTTTCTTTTTACTTTCAATTAGTTAAAGGCTTAAATATGAATAATTTTGAATTCATTAACCTCTGCCTCTAGCATTTCCCCATGAAATACACATATATTCCTATACAACATAATATTTCATATAATAATAAACCAAATAATCTCCCATTCATCTCTCATTTTTTAAGGTAATGTTATTTTTATTTTGTTTGACAAACATATTAAAAGTTAATTTGCAACGTTTCGGGTTAAATGATTGTAATTAACTTAATTTTATGTTAATTTTTTAGCATAAATTCAAGTTAGATGAGAATGTTCATAATATTGTGATGAAATAATGCCAAACTTAGTTCAAAGCATGATATAATAACTTATATAAAGTATACCATACAAAAAGAATTTGTCCAATTATGTTGAAAATTTGAATGGAATTGGTTAATTCGTAACAAATGGGAAATTGACAAATTCTAGGAAATTGACAAATTCTAGGAAATTGACAAATTCTAGGATATTAACATTTAATTATTTTAATTTTAATTTTAAATATTTAAATGTTATTTATTTGTTTTTACTCTATGATTCAATAAATCATAGTGTTTTAATTTCATGTATCAAATTGTAGGACAATAATAATAAAAATAGTCTTAATAGGATGAAAGTTCAAATCCCATCTACTATTGGCACAAAATCAATTATTCAAATTCTTAATGAACTGATAATTACTAATTTTTAAAATTATAATAAATAATAGTTTTGTATATATATTTTATGTTGGTTATGGTTTAATATTTTTTTTTTATTTCCTTTCATTATAATAATAGAAAGAAGGGTCAAAAGCAAAAACATTGTCCTCTACTCTAGAAGTGAGGGAAGCAAGAGGATTGAACACAAACAAGTAGTAGAAAATTTTTAATGGGGAAAGAATTTTGGTAATTGTTCGCATCATTTTTGTATATTTATTTTTTTTATAATAATTTATTTATTTTTTCTATAAGAACAACTTCAAATTGTTGGAGTGAAAAATGTTGAGCAGATTTTTTCAGCTCCAATTCCACTCACAGAACATTTTTTACAAGGATTGGAACGACTCAAAGGGAGATATGTCCAAGGTCTTAGGATAAGAGA